TATGAACTTCAAAAGGCTCCAGAAGCCACTCTGGGGAATGAAGGCTCAGCACATTGCTCCTGGCAGCTCCTGGCACATTGCTCCTGGCTCCAACACTCAGGCAGGGAGAGCTGCACCCCAAGACCCTGCAGCTCCAGAGCAGAAAGTGTGCTACAGGGTTTGTCTTGTGCAACCCCTGGGTTTCCCTGAGCCCTGTCTTTGCTTTAGAGGTTGCTTGGGGGTTTTTAGTTCAATTATTTTTCTAGACTTCTGTGCTAGACATGACCTTGTTGAATGCCAGCTTTCAGGCAGGTTGGGATGGAGCTCAGGACACATCTATTTTACTGTATTTTAAGCAATTCTCCTATTTTCAGGAATTCATTTTGGATTTCATGGGCTTTCCTCAAGCATCAGCAGATCTATTCCCTGCACAGGAAGACCCCAAATGTCACCTTCAGGTCTTAACCCCAACACAGGAGCAGGGCTGACCATGGCCTACATGCACACTCTTACAAATGCCTGTGAATGGGCACAGGCCTGTGTGTGTAGGAGGTGGAAGGGGCACATGGCTGTACAGAGGTCCAGCAGCCCCCGAATGGAGCATTCCCCCCTGCAGACAGATGGTGAAGGCTGGAGGAGGAAGTGAGCGTGTTCACACGTCAGGAGGTGGTTTGATGCAGGCAGGGAAGCGTGGCAGGGTCTGGGCTGATTTGGCCAGGCTGCTGCTCGTTGTTATGGCAACAGGAGGATGCTGCTGGCAGTGAGAGGATGGAGAGCGTGGATGGGGAAGGGGAAAACTTTAGGAAGAAAAGGAAGGATTCAGAAGAGGGAAAAAGAGGGAGAAAAGGTTTGTAGATCAAGATGGAAACTGAAGAGGGATGAGTAGGAGCCTGGGATCTTAATGGTGTCCCACTGAGCTCCTTTGTGAATCAAAGCAATCATAGATTCATAGAATAGTTTGAATTAGAAGAGACCCTAAAAGGTCATCTAGCCCAATTGCTCTGCAATGAAAAAGGGATACCTACAGCTGGATCAGGTGCTCAGAGCTCTGTCCAGCCTGACCCTGAATGTTTCCAATGCTCTGGTGAGATCTGTACCCTGCCCAACCCAAGAGGAAAGGGCTGCCAGGCCATGAAGGACATAGCAGTGCTCTCCAACAGGACCAGCATCACTGCTGCTGATGGCTGGAGGTGTGTCCATGGGCTGATATCAGGACCTGGGGTGAGGATGAGCCCTGGAGATGTGTCCCAGCACACCTGGAGGCTTTCATGCCTTCTGACAACGCTTTGGGTCTCTGCAAGGATCCACCACTGCAACAACAGCAAATTGGCAAAGCATCCCTATGGCCCACAGTGAGCACATGCACGGGGACTGCAACCCCATAAAGCATTTGGAAACCCATCTCCTGAATCACTGAAATCTTCAAACACATTCAAGGCTTTTTTTGCACAATGTCTCAGCACAGAGGGACTATCATGTAATTTGCATCACAAAATCACTAATTAATCCCGTGTTTCCCCCAAGAAAGCACCAGGTTTTGGTACAAAAAGCCCCCAGAGCTCGGCAGGGCTGAGTTTTAGTGGGAAAGCTTTCGAGGAAGAAGAAGGGAAACCCTCCGGACCGCCCAACACCGCTCCGCTCCCGGCGCCCAGGAGATGGCAGCAGCGGGTGCAGCCCGGAGCCTCACGCAGCCCCGGCGCAGCGCTGCTCAGCTCTGCTGCTTCTCGCTTCTGTCTGCGATTTATCCCTCAACGTTCCCCGTTTCCGTTCCCCTTGCTCCCACAAAGCGAGGGTTCGGGCTGAGTTCCCCTCGCTCTGAGCAGCGCTGCGGTTCTCGGCCTCACGAACTCGTTTTAGGATCCATTCTGAAGGACTCCTAATTAATGAAACACCTTTCGTTACAAACCAGGCCTGGGAAACAATCCAGGGGCAGGGAGGCCTGAACAGGCAGAAAGAGCCGGGGGTGAAAGGAGGCAATGGGAAGGGGATTAAAGCACAGTGAGGCTTCAAGGAGGAAAAGAGGGAGAAAAAATAATAATAAAAAAAAGAAAAGGCACGGTACGTTAGGTTTGAACACAAGAACATTTTATGCCTTGCACGAAGCTCAGCTTTTGAGATAGACTTGCTGTTCAACCTTGGCACAAGTCTTATAGGGAGTGACTGAGGGAGCTGGGACTGCTCATCTGGAGAAGAAGAGGCTCAAGGGAGGCCTTACTGCTCTCTGTAACTGCCTGAAGGAGGTTGTGGTGAGGTGGGGTTGGCCTCTGCTCCCAGGTAACAGCGACAGGATGAGAGGGAATGGCCTCAGGTTGTGCCAGGGGAGGTTCGGGTTGGTTATGAGGAAGTATTTCTTCTCAGAAAAAGCAGTGAGGCATTGGCACGGGCTGCACAGGGAGGTGGTGGAGTCAGCATCCCTGGAGGTGTTCAAGGAAAGGGCAGATGTGGCACTGAGGGCTGTGGTTGGTGGGCATGGTGGGGGTGGGGTGATGGTTGGACTGGATGATCTTAGTGGTCTTTTCCAACCTTAACGACTCTATGATTTCCTAATTAATACATTGAGTGTTTAGAGTGCAATTCAGAAGGAGCTCTCTGGGACCAAGAAAACGACCAAAAAAGAACAAAAAAAAAAAAACAAAAAACCCACCAAGATCTGCATTTTGAAGAGAAATTACTCTCTGGCATTCAGTGAGTTAATTCCCCATAGAAGAAATTAATTATTTCTGTAATTAACCATCAGTCTTGAAGCATGAGTACCACTGCGATAAATAAATGTCCACTTTTTGGAGCAGAATCCTGGCTCAGCCTATGCCAGCACCGTACAGGAGACAATTCACCTGTTAAAGGCAGATATCCTGCTGGCTGTAACAGGAAAAGCCCCCACATCACCTGATAAAGCCCCTTAGGCAAGGAGATGGCGTGGGATGCACCAGGCTGCCCCAAATCCAGAGCAGGTGGAGTTCCACTGGTGCACAGGGACTGCTCTGCAGGCAGTGTCCTCTGCCCCTTCATACCGAGTGGCACACCATCCCAGTGAACCCTCATAAGGGGTTGAAGCTCGCTGGCTGCTTTTTAATTTTCAAGCACAATGAAGTAGGCTTGGCATTTCAATTGCATTACAAAAGATTGCTTTCAGAACAGCTGAAGAGGGGGAAAGAAGTACATTTCTTCTTCCCATCTAATCAGACTGAAGTTTCCTGGTGCCAGCCTCAATCTGTGTTAAATTGCTCATGCTATTCGCCAGAGAGATCAGGCTTAGGTACATAATAGAAGCTAATTCTGAAAACAATTACTCGAATTATTAAGTGCTACAGCTGTAGAGGGGGATTGTGGTTCCTGGATCCCCTCTCAGGTGTTCCAGCCCCTGATCATCTTCGTGGCCCTTTATGTCTAAAGCAATGCCAGAGGATGGACCATGGATATCAGTGCTCTTTTACCATGGCTTCTACCATGGAGAACCATCATCAGTGTTGAAGAGGGCACGGCCAATCTTCATTCTGTCAGATCACAGCATAACGCAAGTTTAAAGTGGTGTGGTGGGGTGAAAAAATATCTAGTGTTTCCACTCCTTCAGATCTCGTTAACTGCTGGTGCTTTTCCCATTGCTTAGTGTTGAGAATGCAACTCACCTCCCCTTTATCACCCTAAAGACATCAGTTGTGATACTACAGGAACGGCACTACTGAAGCTGGTTCATCTCCAGCCACTTTGCTCACTTCTTCAGCACCTCTGGTCACCATGTTTGCCATCAGCCATTGTAAGGTACGAATGACATCTATGGCTCCTGCATCAGCAACCAAGAAGATTTAAGAGTGCTACTCTCCATACAGCTATGGCACAGCATAGCCAAGCTGCACATGGCCACAGGAGCACAAGCAGAGCCCTGCTGTGAAGATCCCTGTAGAGCAGACCTGTGCTTGCAAAGCCACACGACAAAATGTATTAGCTCAGTGCAATCCAAAAAGGCATGCAAAAGGAAGATCAGCTTTTCCGCTGGACTTGCTGCAAAAGAAATATCAAATGTCCTCCACTTTGTTTTCATTCTGGAGCTGGAGTGAAATATCAAAGGATAATTCAAAACACATTTGGATATGCTTGAGGTAGGAGAGCACGAGGCAATATCTCCACCAGACCATAGAAACCTATTCTGTATTAACTCTATTCTTTCTTACCTCCCCCACATTTGACAGCTCCTGGAGCAGGCCCAGCACCATTGCATCAGCATTACTGCCAGGATCCATTCCACATGCTGAGCAGTTTATGAAGGAAAAAGCATTTCCTGACATCTGTTCTGAATTCACCACTCTGGTCCTCCTCCCCCACTTCATTTCATCGCACTCTGCTCTGTCTCCCCATCCACCAACACCTGTCCCCTGCTAGTTGGGGCTCTCCAGGATGAGTTGAGGTTCTTGGGGATGAACCGATCACTCACACCTGTTCCAACCATGTCTCCAATGCCCTGCTAGCTTTTTCTCCTTCTGTTAATGTAAGATTTTTCTTTCCAAGGCATAGAACAATCTGACTCTAAGCCAGCAAATCATTTACGCACACACTTTCTTTCACCTATCCAGCTTTCTCACACTAGAACCACAGGGTTGAGTGGTAGCTAAATTAAAAGCCCCTTTACAGGACTGAACCCAGGAGCAGACTCGTTACTGCTTCCTCACTGCCTTTTTCAATGGAGCACTGACAATGCTTGTGGTTCCAAGGCTGAATTCTGCTTTGATAAACTTAGAAAAAGGAATGACTGCTAAAACTGTTTGTTTCCCATCAGGAGTTTCCCCTCATTGCTTCACTTTGCACTGGCTAAAAAGCCCTTTTTAAAGATATGAGGAGATAACAGGACTAAGAGACACAACTTACCTTTCTCCTGCAAATCACTTTGTCAGTTGTTTTGCATATACAAACACAGATGCAGGTTTAAGGACCTAGAAGTCACCACAATCACAATTTTATATCACCTGGATATTTCAGTGCAGACCCCACAGTTTTGATTCCAACAGGATGTGACAGACACCACTGCATACTCCAAGCATGTAGAAGATTTTATTAAGCATGACTTTGGTTCTAAGTATTCCTCATTTCTGTAATAGCTTTAGTTAAAAACAATTATACAAGAGCAAATACAAAAAATATTAAATTATGAAAACAAATCCTTTAAGGCTCCCTTTTTTATATTTATATATATTTATATATGTACACTCAAACAAGTGCAGATATTAACAGAAGGTTAAAGCCACAAAAATTCTAAAAAATTTACTACTATACTATCAAAAGCAAGAATTTTTAAAAAGTACTGCCTTATCAGAGGCAGAAGTGGTCAAAGTAAGTAAGCCATTTTCAAATCACTGAAGTATTTGCAGGATTGCTTCAGATCCCCTGTAGCTGAAGGACAGATCAGGAATAGCTCACCTCTGTTGGCAAGCAGTGTCTTACTTGGGTAGCCACCCAGCACACTCATGCTCTGATAGCTGACTACCCATGTAAGAGCTACCCATCCCAGCCCAATCCTGACATTAAAGACAGGCTTTTGCTTGTCAAATCAATAGGAGAGTGATTTGGATTCTTAGACTAAAAGGTCAGCAGGATTCAAAGATGCTCTAATGAACACACTGATGTTCTGCTCGTACGCAGAATGAACTCCAAGTGAAAACAAAAAAATCTACTTCACACTGTATGTACAAGGGGGTTTTCTGGCCACCTGTGTTTCGTAACAAGAAACTACCCTGAATCACAAGCTGATATGGAGAGGAAGCAACATACTTTATGCTTTGGAGGGCCCAATCCAATGCTTACTGAAGTCAAGGAGAAACTGTTGTCCCTACCGACTCCAGTGACATTTGGATTGCACCCAACTCCATTCATTTTGCTGTGCCTGCACAGTAGGATTGCCACGTTCACTGAAGACAAAGGGCTGCAAAGAAATAGCTTGCTGAAGCCAAAGGAGGGTTTCCTCACCGATTCCCAGACATTTCCATACTGAACAGAAGGTTAATTGTAGAGTGGAATCCAACAGACAAAGTTTGGTAGGCTGGGAATGGTTAGGGTAAAATGTGTGGCATGGAACTCTGGTATGTAACACTGTCCCAACAATCAACAATATGGAACAAATCCAAACAGTGCAAGTGCCAGAACTGTAGGTCCTCTTCTTATAGAGGAAGGAAGAAAGAGTGAGGAAAAATCTGCAGCACTGAGTGTTCCTCTTATGAGAAAATACAAAGAGTTATATTTGGCCTTTGTCCTTTGTAACTCCATAATCAGAATGGTCTGGCAGACCATCTTCACATTTAATCATCTAGATATGAGTCACACTGCAAATCTAAATCAATGGCAATACACTTATCACAATTCAATTTACTCCTGATATGATTATGTCCTCATAATAAATGCCTGGATCTTGAGAAATTGAAGTCTGTCTCTAGGAAACACTGCTAATTGTGAGCATTTTGTCCCAAGTGCTATGCTGAAATTGTGTTTAAAACATCTGATACTTACAGGAAAGGCAAAAGAAACTAAAAAACCAAACCAACAAACCCTTCCCCACAATACAAACATGCCACTGTTGATATTAGTAAAAAGTGTTCTCAAACAGTTACGTCCTTTATAAATACAAAGTCAAAATCATTTCATTTAGCATCCTAAGGCAAAGACTATGATTAGGTCCTCAGCTGATATGGATGAGCACAGCCTTAGTGAAAGCTAGGAATATGCTAAGCAAGGAAGATGAGGATTTCTCCCCGCTTTCTGAAGACAAAATATCTGCACCTACTCACACCAGGTAAGAATCCAACTCTATAATCCTACATGAGTAATCTGTTCCCCCCCCTCCTCATCCCAGGCTTTCCTGGATAACTAGTAGTCATAAGCATGAAGGATCAGATTCTGCCATCCCTATAAAACTGAACAGTATTTTATTTAATGGCAAGTCATGGAATAACTTGCAGAAAGGCAGAAGGTGACAGAATTGGACCTGAAGAGTCAGTGGTAACACATTTCCCCTCTGTTGAAGCTAGAGGAAGGATGGGATAAAATGAATGTCATTTTACATCTCACTTCAGGGAAGAATTCTCCATTTTGGTAGATCCCAACCATCAGTTTGGTCTGGTTTGAACACCGCTCTGTTGCAGGAGCTACAGAAAATTCCTGCAACAGCTGAGCAGGAATTGATGGGAGAAAAGACTCCTGATTTCAGTTCCAGCAAATGAGTCATGTGCTAACACTGCACTCAGACCAGCATGTTCTTGGAGGAGAAAGGCCACAGCAGTAAAGTAGGTAGGATTTCAAAATACAAAGATTAGAAGACAGGTCATTTTGCATTGAGAGGTAACAGATGTAAATACACAGGTAGCACGGTACAGACCTTCACATAACATTTTAAGTTTAAAGAAAGAGATAAATCAGCTTCTTGATTCTCTGGTGAAAGGATCACCAGATTTCTGCTCTTTCATAGCCCAGATTCTACATGCTAAACAGGGAGAATTGGGCTTTAAGGCTGCTCACCTGTTCACTGCTGGTGAATTTTAAGCATTCCCATTCTGCCTGCAAGTGCCTATCCCTGTGGGGATGGGCATCGATGATCAACACACCTCCTATCATCCCAGATTTGATAAAAATTCCAACTGAACACAAATAAATTGTGAGATATACACAGGCTTTAGGTCTAGATGAGAAAACATATCTGCACAGTAAAGTTTCATAAGATATCACAGGAGGAGTTTGTTTTGATTTAAAGCAAAATATCATCTGTGTACCTCTGCCAAGCTAGTATCACAAGAGAGAAAAAGCAGTGCAACACTGAAGAAGCTTCCCTGCTATCCCTGGTTAAAATCTCTGAGTAAGCACTTCCATAAGCACTGGTCCATGACACTGAACTGACTCCTGATGCCATGCATCAATCCCAGAACTGCATTTGGCAAGTCGATCTGTTACAGTCTATAATCCACTCGGTCCTAGGAAATAAAAATCTCATCTTCAGTACGTGTCAGGAGAATGCTGTTCTTCTTCCTCTTGATGGGGCAAATCTGAGACAACTTGCAAAAGTCTCTCTGCAGCCACAGCAGGAAAGCTGGAAGTCTTAGTGGGCGCTGCCTCTATGAATCTGGTGCTTCTGTAGCTTCCTGGACCGTCCTCCTCAAATTACCCTTGACTTTGACAAATTCAGGTGCATTTTCCTGCTCTTCTTGTATCTTCTGTTGCTCCAGTTCCAGCTTAAAAGACATTAAATATAAACATATAAAAGAGATAATTAAAAGAAAAGACAAAAATGTAACGGTTTCAATAACTGGCCATGCAAAGCAATTTAAACTGCTTCTTTTCTTTCTCTCATAAAAAAGATAAAGCTGAATTTCTTTGGGACTATCTGATCTAACAAACTATCAGTCTTTTCAAACCTTTGGCTCTAGCTCATGCCCTGTTACAGTAAATCACACCAGATTCCTCCATGTGTCATACTGTCAATTAATGACATCCCTGTGATGCTTACAAAGTCACAACATTACTTGCAGTGGGCAGGCTTTTCCTCTTCTAAGAGAATTTTCTATTCTACGTGTGTCCTTGGGTAGCTGAATTCCAAATCAGGCATCTTCCCACAGCCTAAGCCATTTGAAAGCTGACCTTATCTCTCTGAGGGCTTAAGGCAAAAGTGACAGGATAATATATTTAAAATTACAATGGTTTTCTCCCTCCAAAAATATTTCTATGCCTGATTAAGAAACTATAATAGAAAAAAGGGGCCAAACATAATAATTGATGTGACTACACCTCATTTTCAAGAGAGTTATTCAATTTAATTGATTTCTGTTTTAGAGCATTCATTTTTTTAGAGGAAAATACACAAGGTCTTTAATTGAAGAAATTTTGCCTCTTAGGTACACAGAGTGCCTTAAGAGGCCCAAAGACATTTGGCTGTCCCTCTGCTTAGCAGTTAAGTTTCCCAGCAAAAGACTGCAATCTCATATAATTCTCTGTATTTAGGGTATGAGAATGTTTTCCTTCGTTTGAAAAATCCAATGGGTTCATTCATTAAAAGGTCCCTCTGTAGCCCTAGAAAGTCACCTCATTTAGTACACAGCCCAGAAGAAAGAGAAAACGGAGGTTTTTATTCACTGAGTATCTAGTTTTAATGCACTACACTCTAACATCTATTCCTGGTGGATCATCTCTTCATACAATCGAGGCAATGGTAGAGTGTGAACTGACTCATTGTAAAAAATTTATTTGCATTTTGTCAGAGGAACTGTGCAAAAATCATCTGCTGTTTCTTTCTTAGAAAGAGAGCACCAGGTGAATAGCTCAGAGATTGATGTGTGAAGTCGGTGTTATCTCCCATCTTACCTGCTCCAGTTTCTGCTGCCGTTTCAGTAGCTCTATTTCCAGGTCTGACTTCTTCTTTTGTGCCTCCTCTTCTTTTTGCTGTTTAATAACTTGATCTCTTTTTCTTTTCTCCATCACCTTTTGTAACTCCGGTTTGTTCTGAGGTGCAAGACCCCTTCAAATTAAATGGGAGAACAGGGGAGAAGGAAACAAGGAAGAAAGATCATTTTTTAATAAGCTGACATTCACAGTGACCTTTAGGCAGGTTTTCTCAAGTCAACTGGCTGCCCATTTGGGTACTTTGAAAAACAAATATTTAATTAAAAGCAAAAAATAGGCAGAAGATGTATTGGTTTCTAACAATAAGTTGGAAATAAAGCCATATTATCACTGAGAATGCTAATGTTTCTCCTGAATAATTCACTGTTATGGCTTTCATCTTGAGCCTTCCCTCTCTTTTCTCCATTCCAGAAGAATCAATTTTAAAAACATCACAAATCAGAGCTGAAAACTAATTTTGGAAAACAAACAAACAAAGCTGGCTGATAATTCAGAGGGACTGCATTCAGACAGTCCTGCACTGGGTTCCATTTTCAAGAGAAGTCTGCATGGACAGCACAAAAACATATTGTCCCTCTGGATTTTGTCACATTGCTTCTGGAAATCATTAATTCAGTCCTTCTTTGACATTATGACAGCTTCAGCCATGCCTGGCTGCTGCACTGCTTCCATTGAGAACAGCGAGAGCTCCCAGGCTATGCTGAAAATCACACAGAAACGGGCTAAAACAACAAACATCCCACATAAAAAAAGGTTGCAGTCACCTTGGAGATCAGACAAAAGGGAAAAGATGCTCTGATGAGATTTTAGTACAAAATATTTTCCAAGCCCACTACTCTATTGCTTACTCTTCGCAGTTGGACTCGATGATCCTTTTGAATCCCTTCCAACTCGAGATATTCTAGGATTCTATTTGGAATATCCTCATCATTCCGTTATTAGTTGGAGCAGAAAGATCCAAGATATGCCTTTGTTATTGTGGTTTTCACTGGGATGACTGTTGTATGAGCACATCCAGCATCGAGTTTAACATCAGCCATTTTTAACTTCAATTTCAAGAAATTCAGTAATCTGAAGAAGCTTTCAAAAAAGCATATTTTTACCACTTCTCAGTGTATTATCTGTGGTTGCCTAATTCTTCCATGTGTATCTGACAGCATGTCTAAAAATATATTAAAAAGCCATTTTACAGTGGCATCTATAAGCGACTCCATATATTATGCAACATTCTATCAGTGTGCAAAATCAAATATTTAGCAACACCACAAGCTGCTCCATATTTCTCATAATGCATCTCATGGCCTAAATGCAACAAGCTGCAAGACTGTATTAATATTTTATGTTTCATGCTATTTTAATTACATTTCAGCAGTTAAAAATTAAGTCAGGCAGAGAAAAGCTGAAGTAACGTTTTATTATAATGACTACTGCTACTACTATTAATGACTTCTACTCCATCTGGGTCAGTGAGAGCTGAATCAATGGGAACTTCTATACTGATGAGCAGTGAGGATAGCCATGAATCAGATGCAAGCTGCTAAGTAACATTACACACTGCTGATTTAGGTGTCCAATTTATCCTAACTACAGCACAACTAACACCTGCAGAAGACCTCTCCATCTAATCAAAAGGGATCAGTAGTCAGGCTGTGAAGTAACACCTGTAACATCAATCCTATTCTCAGTCCTGCATTTAGAGAGGGAAAGCAACAAACAGGCTGCTACTGGATTAAGTAAGTGTCTTGCATCACCTCTTCTTTGGTCTAGCATTAGGTGGGAAGGTTGGTGGCCCTGCATGTGGCAGGGGGGTTGGAGATTCATGATCCTTGAGGTCCCTTCCAACCCTGGCAATTCTGTGATTCTGTGATTCATGATTTTTCTAGTTAAATAAAAGTCTTAAAAACTTTAGCACAGAGCAAACAAACTGTGCTTAACCACTTCTATCAGAGCACTGAAATTCCTCCACATGCATGGCAATTAGCAGTAACAATGCATACCCCTTATTTATCTATCTCAGAGGAGGAGGAAGTTCTTCACACAGAGGGTGGTGAAGCACTGGAACAGGTTGCCCAAGGAGGCTGTGGATGCCCCATCCCTGCAGGCATTCAAGGCCAGGCTGGATGTGGCTCTGGGCAGCCTGGTCTGGTGGTTGGTGACCTCGCACACAGCAGGGGGTTGAAACTAGATGATCATTGTGGTCCTTTTCAACCCAGGCCATTCTGTGATTCTGTGTGTGTGACAACACAAACCTAACACCTACATCAAGGAAAAGCCTCGTACCAGAGGTAGTACCACAGAATAAAGCACAGAGTCCTAAACATCTTTTCAAAGAAGATTTTCTGCTGCTGAAACCCTCAAAGTATTTCATTTCTGCACCAATAAATAAGGCTCTAAAATTAACAGCTGCAACTAATCAAAATCACAATAAAAGAAGAAGGGGTATTGAGGGCAGCACAACTGTTTTGTGTAATAGGATATTCTTCAGAAAGAAAAGAACTTCATACTGGTTTCAAGTGCTTTATGCTTTTATAAACTTAAAAAGGAAAAAAAATAGACTTAATTTAGTGCAGTCTCCACATCCTTTAGAATAAAATCATAAGTTGAGAAACTTCAAGTATCTTCCTTTCAATGCCTTTAAACTCTGTGGTGCTGGGAACTGACTTTGATGTTTAATCCCATTAACAAAAAAATAGGACAAACACCTATTTAGGCCAGTTTCTTCCAATTCAGTTGGCATTCTGTAAAACATTTCTACTTCTTCATCACTAAAGAAATGCTGTATTGTGTAAGCAGTTCATTTAGAATTAAGTATCTAAGCCTAGCATTTGTGAGGATTTTGCTGTTACACATAGAAAAGGCCCTTTTCTCCCCTCAAAATACCACTCTGCCAGAAAGGGAAAAAAAGAGAAACTTTCAGAATGCAACTCTTCTGCCAAATACACAAATCCAGCTGAACTGAAGTAGTTCTTCCTCTACTTTACTAAGGTCCTGGGTCTCAAAAAGCCTGAATAGGTATAAACAGCAATTTTTATTTTCAAATGCACTCTGAAATAGTTCTTTCACTTCTGCTTTGGGGATCCCCACACCCTCGCCTATGCAATATGCCTTTTGAGTGGTTCTTTGTTTTGTAGACAGTCTGCAGAGAAGACACTCAGGGTGCATCTGTTACTGCAGCCTTAAGTTAAAAACTGCACAGGCAGCTGACAAATGAGGGCAAAAGACAAAGGAGCAAATCAAGTCCAAACCACTTCCTGATATAGTGGCATCCACACTGCAATCTCTCGTAGCATTCGAGTTATCAGAAGAGATGTGAAAATGATGATTAAAGGATCTACTATCACTCCAGCTGCAAGTGGCCAAGGAACATTAAGACTAAAATTATGTATCTTATTAAAGGATGAAATAAGATTCCTGAATTGCAAGTTCTAATTAATCTGTGAGGAGGCAGGAAGACAACACGTCTTCACTTACTCCTGCTAGGACAGCCATGCAAGATTACATTCTTGACATCAAAGTAACACTGGATATCTTCATCAAATCATGAATCTATATAGATGTTACTTTCCACTTGTTTAAATGATGGAGTCCCACAAACTTGGAGGCTTTTTCTCCTCTGAGAAGTTAGGCAGCTTTTTTTTTAGTGTTTTGTCTTTTTTTTAAAAGAGTTGTTTGTTGTTGAAGAGATTTAACAACAGATCCTCATCTACCCCTGAGCCAAGCCCCTGTGTCTCAGCACAGTTGATGAAATCAAGTTCCAATTCTTTACATCTTCAAAAGCAATATATAAAGCAACAGCTGTGCAATGCCATCCCAGGAAGGAGGAAGCAGAATTTGCAAAATACACACAAAAAAACTTGTGCAGCAGCAGAGCAGGCTATCACTGCAAAGTAAGAAAGATCAAGTAACCACAGAACAACTTTTGAAATAAAATATACAATTTCTTTAACTTAGAAGTGCTGGGAATGGTGCAAATTCACAGATTTGATGATATTGTTGGTGACTATCAAATATCTGACAAAATCCATTTAAGTTGAGAGCTGAAGACAAAATACAATGCTGAAGTAACAAATCTGAAATGTGATGTGGGAGAACTGAACCTCTTCCTCATGAAAACAGCCTTTAGTGAGTATTCACAAACACCACATGGCAAGTCTGATTTACATAAGCTTTTACAGAGTTTTGCTGAATGATCAACAACTGATCTTATGTTTGACATCCTCAGTGTAGTTTCTGACTAGCACTGAAACAGACATGGAAGACCTTCAGTTAGATTAAGACACAGATGAAATAATGGAGCAGCCTGTAGCTTTCTTACACAACTATTATGTCAGCATTGTTTTAGATTCTGTTGGTTATACATAGGTTTTTAAGTATCCTACCTGCAGCTGGTGTAGGTAGCACCACTGATTACACAACACATAAACAGTAAGCAACATGGCAAAGCCTTTGTAGTGAAAATAATGATTCAATACTAAAATGGATATCAAAGCTGTCTGAAAATAAAGTTAATGATTAAATTTGGAAAAGAAGATAAAATTCTCACAGAAAGGAGGATTGGACTAATTGAACTCAAATTCAAACAAATAAACAACGTGGTTAAGAACTGCAGTCTTTTCATCTGCAAGGTTTTCATCAATGAAATATGTCCAGTGGGTGTGGGGTGAAATATCATTTTGATGAAACTCAAGCTGTGTGTTTGGGGTCGGGGAGTGGCACACGTGATTGTCAGACTTTTACCTTTTCTGATTCATAAGTAGCTCTCTATGGAGATCTTGATGATTCCGGGATGACTTCACAGGATTAATTAATTTCTGAGGTCTAATTAACTCAGGATTGTCATCATCTATGTAGTCTGGTTCAGCCATAATCTTTCTTGGAATGGGAAATGGATCTTTGGGTTCGGTGTCCTTACTCACAGTATCTGGAAAACAAGGGGGGGGGGGTTAGGGAAGACTACGGTAAATTAACACTGAATGGCCTTTTGAAAATGTATTAAAACAAGCAGAGGCACACTTTACCACATTAATAACATTTAAGCTTTTTTGGATAGATTTTGTCTAAGTAAATTAATTTGCTCCATGCAAACATCAGTACCATTTTATTTAATAGATGGCAATTTCAAAACCCTTCATCCCTTCACTGGGATACACAGATTCCTCTCATTCTACTAGCTGGACAAATATTCCAAGTCAAACATGTGAAAAGCCCTAATGATCTTAAATAAGTCATAGAATCATAGAATAATTAAGGTTAGAAAAGACTACTAAGAACACACAGCCCAACAGCTGACCCATCCCTACCATGGCCACTAAAACCATGTCCCTCTGGCTTTCCTTGAACACCTTCAGGGACAGTGACTCCCCCACCTCCCTGGGCAGCCTGTGCCAATGCCTCACCACACTTCTGAGAAGAAATCCTTCCCCTTCCACTAAAAGCCTTGGCCACAAAAAGTTCAGCATCTGAAACAAAACACATTCAGAGCAGTTCTGTCTCCACTCGCTGTCACAGAAAGCAGCACACAGAATCCAGCATGCTGCAGTTTGGTGAAACAAACATTGGTCTCTTGATTGGACAAGAAAAAACAACCTCACAGCATGTGGGTTTTACGGAGATGAATCAATGGGACAGGAAAGAAAAAGACAGAGACCTCCATCAGCCTGACTGACAGAACAGCCGAATGCAGCATGCTGTAGAGTACGGAGCTCTGAGATGAGTCAGAGAACCACTGGGGTTTGCCACATATCTTCCATTAGAAGCTGAATCTGTGTTTTAATTCAGATCCCACTGTTACCAGCGCTTACCTCTTGGCACAGTGAAAAGGTTTCCACTGTAAGACGTGGATACCTTCATACAGAACATCACCAGCACGCAGCAGGGCTGCAAGTGGGCTCATAGATGAATAAGGGAAACCACAGTGCTCGTTTGTCACTGGATGCAGGGAAGACATGCTGGATTTGAATGTGTCTAACATACCCCGGAAGGCCCTTTCAGTGTCTTCACTTGAAAGCACAATGGGGGTTGTGTGCTGTTATTGGTGCTACATCTCACACATCCCATGAGAAGCAGCTTACCAGAGTGAGCTGCTCTCAGGGTGGCCCTGGCATTAGTTTTTCATGGTGAGGACATCTGTAGCATTTCTGAACTCTGTGGGAGTGTTAGTTCTCACTGGGATCTCTGAAACTAGTAAAGAAAAAGTAGCTGTCAGCAGTGCCAGTGGTTCAAAACAATGTAAGCATATTGCAGCAGATGGCACAAACCCATTTGTGATGTTGACTATACAATAAAAATACTTCAGTCAGCCCTTCAGAGTCCTTCGTGCTTCACTCAAGCAACCACCTATCCCCACAAACATCAAATACACAGAACCCTTGGAAAATTCAGATGAGAAGAAATTCAGTTCTAGTCCAACCTCCTGCTGAAGGTAATATCAGCTATGGGTCAAACCAGGCTGCTCAAAGCTTTATCCAGCAAGGTCCTAAGTCTCCTAAGGCTGCACAGCTTCTATAGGCAACCTGTTCCCAGGCTCACTGATCTTCACAGTGAACTTTTCCCTTATGGCAGCTGTGTTCCAGCTTCTGCCTGCTGCTTCTTATCCTCCTGCCATGCACTGCTGGGAAGATCATGGTGCTGTATAATTGCATGTCCTATAAAAAGGCCAAAAACTAAGGAACTACCCCCAAACAGAGCCTATTTCTCGATGCACATCACTTAGAAGCGTGGAAGTTTACCTTCTTTATCAATGACTGAATAAACTAGGTTTTTTTTTTTTTTTTTATTCTAAATAGGAATGCAGCAATTCATACTTCCTTGGTGTTCAGGTCTATCACAACTAAAACAACTCTGGTATCTACAGGTTTATTTTGGATGAAGGATGGATATAAAGTTCTGTTCTTCTATACTCTCAGCTCTGTTGCTCTGGTAGGGCTGTCAGTCTTTTGGAAGGCATTTATCATCCACAGCTCTCCATAAAAGTACCGTATAATCACAAAAGTATAGTTTTCTATATACAGTATAACTGTGTAATCAGCCAGAAAATGACCTGCTGCTTCTTTAAGTCAAGTTTTCCATCTGCTTAGGCAAAGATGAAAAATGCAGAATCACCCACAACTGTTCGTCATGAACAACATATTGGTTTTCTAACATGAGCCCCTGAAAAACAATTGGATTCGATTGTTTCTCAGAAAGTTTGATGTAATATTTTGCAACTTGTATATTTCCTTCTGGCAAAAACTTTAGTGGAGTCTATTCTGGAGTCTATTCTTTCTCCTGTCCCATTTCTATTTTTAAAAACATGTATTCAGCTCCAAGGTCAGAAACAGTGGTTTCCTAATGTGACATGAACTCTACCAGAAGCAAGCATGAATGAATGAAATTCCTTTGGGAGCTGGAGACTCTTTCCACATGTGATTAAGCTGCAAGTGATTTCAGCTAGGATTTCCAAGCAGAGCTAGCACTGTAGGGCACCCAGCTTCTGCTTACTGAATCCCCTTCTACCCTTTGCAAATCTGGACTGGCCTGGCTGAAGGCCACCATCCCAGTCCTGAAATACACAACCAACACAATTAACACAGTGTGATTTCTACCCACGCCCTTTCAAAGCAAACATTTAGGAAAACACAGGTAGATTTCACAAAAGAAGGAGATGAGGCACCAAGAGTTCAGCACACAATAGACAGGAACTGTGCTGGAAATGTAACCACTGAGTCATCCACACATCAAGCATAATCCATTTCTGCATTTCACTGTTATCTTACAACAAAACTGAGATAAAGAGATTTGGATTCACTGGATGTTCTGGCTGAGCTTGTTTTCAGTGTAGTAATTGCATGCTAGAGGAATGCAAGTAACATTTAAGGGGAACATCTCCAGGAGACATGTCCATTTCTGATGTTCTTCATTTTTTATTCCATCTACTGAGTTTTGTCCAGTAAAACTCCCTGAAAGACACGTGCCGAGATTGCTATGGACAGTCACTGGCATTTTTAGCAGATTCAATGTAGATCTTAACAACACCAGATGAAGGATTCTCCATATGCCAGAGTGTTTGCAGCAACAGAGCTCGTAAGGCTTCAGAGAAGGAAGTTCATGCAAAAAAAAAAAGCTTATGTTTATATGGCATTCAGGGAATTGCATTTATTTTCTCTCTGGTATTTGTCATACCAGAAATCACCCTACACAGATGGAACCTGAACATAAAAATTCCTGTGAGACACCAGACATTTATATGATTGTACATATATGAGGCATTTTCACCCTTCAGATGGCTCCCACAATTATTTGCAGCTGTGGAAGCAGAGGTAGACTTGAGGCCCCTTAAAAAGCAGACAAATAAATGCCTAAGAATACAGATGAACATCAAAATAAGACTAGTCTAGGATCCAAAAATTACTTTAAAGCTAAATTCATATCATTTCCTCTTTGTCTTACTAAATGACTGAATTAATAGCTACCCCAGAAGCATTAGCCCAAACACTGGATACCTCCTGAAATCAGATTTTATTCTGGAAAAAGCCTGAACATCTGTTCTGAGCTGTACTGCAAACCATCAAACACTGTTTTTTAAGACTTACATTTTTAGATCTTTATGCTACTTCATAGACTCGCGGTTTGTTACAAGTAACCCAAAGGCATTCTTTAGGAAGAAATATGGTTTTACTCTCCTCCTTCCCATTTTGAGAAGAATTGAAATAAAGAAGTGTTCACTGTGCCAGCTCAAACTGTGCTGCCTTGCACAGTCCAGCTTGGATGGAAAGCTAAAGAGCTGCTTCTATACACACTGAACCTTCCAATCACCTCACACTGTACATCAAAGCCCTTCACCATTATCATTTTCATCTAAATGCACTCTGTGCAGCAAGAGGCACTTGACTGCAAAGATATACTTGATTAATCCATGATTACAGATATCATTAATAACTTCCCACAGTTCACCCTTTCATTCAAAGTTAGAGTTGCTGAAAATAGAATGCAAAATACTCTTCCCAGGCAGGATGCTGATGCCAGCCCATGTCCAAGCAGTTTGGCTTCTATCCATGCAGGCTTCTGCAGCTCAAAGGGATGGTGAGGTTTGGATCACAGTAGACTAAATGAAGTAGCAAGCCTGAAATTTTGCTGTCAGTACAATGCCAGAATAGTTTAACTAACAGCACCCTTCTCACAGGCAGATTTTATAAGCTCTCTGAATATATGTAACCTTTCTACTTTGCAATAAGTTGAGATTACCTCGCTGGAATACACCAGTAAGAAAGACCTCCTAAGCTACTATTAAATGCAAATAGAAATGGTTAATTTATTAAAAGTCTTTTTAACCCTCCTCCTTTCATTCAACACAGTCTGATGGCACATCTTATAGCAACACTCTTAAAAAATGTGTGAGCCTGACAGATGACACTGCAATTAGGCCCACATAAACACAATCACAATAACTCAGAACACCTTCCTTATTACAGTGGCAGTGAACAGGGTCCATTGGTCTCCAGCCTCAAACCCAGGGAGCAAGGTACTGGTACCAGCTGCTAATGGCTTCATTAGCCACACAGCTGCCAAAAGACTGAAGGACCATGGAGACCCCTCACAGTAACTGTGGTGCTGCTCCTGCTCACTTGACCAGAGCAGCCCAAAGCAATTTCAGCGATGCCATGAGTTTGGAGAAAAGCAGGGCTCACCAGCTACTAAAACTATTCCTACTGTCTTATTAAAATGAACTAAAGCACTCCAAACCTTAAGAATATCCAGTTAACATTCATTTTCTTCCCTTAATACTGCTGACAACGCAATGCCAACACAGCACAGATAAAACATGCACTAGATGAGAAACCAGAAGAAAAAGGTTCATTTCAAAGATGTTTGTATTGGCACTGACACCTGAAGGGGAAGGGAATGCAAGATCTGGGGCAGTGTTCATACTACCACAGTTCTCTC